ATATATATATGAAAGTTAGTGTCTAAGAAAATATTTTAACTCTCCTAACAATAATAATGTCAAAAGATATGCCAAGGATAAAATCTACAAATACTGGCTTTTGCCTGATCATTTCGTCTTGTGTGCCACCAGAAAAAACAAACAAAACAGGCCGGTCCTGAAATTTCCAGCCAACTCCTTAATTTTTAATACCAAGGAGGAAATCACACAATTTTTTAATGTTCATTTTCTGCTAAATTAACTTGGCAATAGCATATTGCTGTGACTCCATACACAAATAGATAGCTAGACAAAAGACCATTTTCCTTTCATAAGATTAATTGATACATAATGGATACAGAAATGATCTAGAAAAAAAAAAAAATAGGCCACAATTCTATTGTGTTTTGGTCCTAATCTGGTGCATCCTAAAGTTTGTTTCTTCAAAATAAATACAACTTAAATTCTGTAATGTTCTTAGTGTATCCTATTGATGTTTGTTGAAGCCATTTCTGCCTCAGTTGCCTCTGCTTGCTCTCTGAACTTCTTGTATATATCACCCTTGTAAAAATTCCTAGTTCTTGCAACCAAAGTCATCGAGGCTAGAGCGCCAAAAAACGCGACACTAGCCAAGATTACAAAAGCCTGTCGATAACATTGGTTACCAATACAAGTCAACTCTTTAACAGATGATCTAGTCAATCCCTTTTTGGCGAGCTCCTTCAACGCCTGTCTATCATAAAGTGGTCCAGTGACTTTCACATTAAGTATATATGAGCCAAGAGGGCTAGCCAATTGTCCACAATTGAACAATGTGGAGTAATACTTCAATCCAAAAAGTTCAGAAATAATTGAGAAGAGTAAAGGCAACTGTGCACCAAATGAGAAGCCGATGATCACAGACGCCACATAGACTGATCCGGGGAAGGGGAACGCAATAAGGAGAAGGCCAATGCAGGATAACAAAAGGACTAATGTCATCATAAGTGGCCTAGGGAATTTGTACTTAACAAGAAGAGTCTCAGAAACAAATCCTGAGAAAATTCTCCCAAAAAAATTCCATATACTAAGAAGTGACACAAAGGATTTAATGGTTGTTGTTGGATATCCTAAAGATTCACCAATTTGACCCAAGTTATCGACAGCAGTAAGGCTCGTTCCAAGTCCACAGAACGTAGCAAGAAACAGAATTAACATATCAGTACTTAAAAGTGCTTGTAATATGCTATAATCTTCACCTCTTTCTGGCTTATTGAAGAAAATATCAGTGAACCAAACGCACTTAGAGTTAGTATCGTCTTTCTTGATTTCTAAGGTTGTAGAATTATCTTCTTTCTCTAGTACTACTTTTGGATCCTCAGTCGCTATTCGTGGAGGATCAATGGGCAAGTTCTTTCGACGAAAGACATCTAACTCTTCTCTAATGAAAACCAAAAGAGGAAGAAATAACAAAGCACAAGCCAC